AATTGGTTTGTTTAAAAAAAAAAAAAAAAAAGATTTGCAGATCTAACTGAGGAAAGCCAAACCGCCCTCCAGGAATAGACAGAAAAGGACACGGTTGAGGAAAACACAAGAGAGATGGGGCACAGCTGCAGGAGGGCACAAGCAGCCTTGCTGCCCTCCATCCAACCATGGCCAAGCCAGCCCTGGGGTGGGTCCTCCCCACCCGCGGAGCAGCAGCACTCTCTGGGTCTCCCGCTGCTCTGGCTGGCCTGTCACACCAGTCTCCCCTCTATTCTCCATGGGAGACCCCACCCACTCACTTACCCCACACACACCCCAGAGGACTCTGCGGGCCACATTCACTGCCCAGGGGCAACTGCACCAGGCTATCCAAAACCAGACCCCTCGCCTCCCCAGAGTCACCCTCCCCAGTTACCCCCCTGGCCCAGCCCTAAACAGCATCAGCTGCCCCCCTAATGTGGGCACTGCCACCTTTACACCACACCTTCCTCTCCTTTACCCTCCCAACTATGCCCCCAGAGCCCCTGCTGGAGCCTGGACCACCACCATCCATCTGTTCTGCCCACCTTCTGACCTTCAAATCAACTCTCCATAATGACCCCAGAGCATCATTCGCTGCCCTTGGCTTAAAATCCTTCGAGCCCAGAGCTCTCCCTGCAGCCGTGCACTCAGGACCCCTCAAAACCACACTGGCCAGTGTGTCAACTGCCTCGACCCTCGCCATGTACCCTCTGCTCCCACCTTGCTGAGCCACCTCCTGCCCCCCAGTAGCCTCTGTGCCTTCATCCTCTCCTGACAAGTTCACTACCACTTTCTGGAGAAGTCCCCTCAGTGTCCTGTGACGGACATGCCTCCCCGAGGCCCCGTGGGATCCAGGGCCCTGCCTCCATCCATCCTCACCCACACCATAAGCAGGTCTGCTGTCCTCCCCGTGGACCAAAAGGCTCCCTGTGGGCTTGGCGTGCAGCATGGACACATTCTCTGACATGCCTGGCTGGACAGATGGTTGGACAGAGCACTTACCCTGGGACTGAGAGTGTCTGTTTTACTCCTCATATGATTAAAACTGACTGAGGATTGTCACTCATCATTTAAAAGAGACTAAGAGCCAACACGGAGCTAACACTCAAGACCTTAAAAACCTACACCATTACACTGAAGAACATGCCCCTTCTGTCTCTGCTCAGGACACCCAGAACAGCAACGAGGAACGACCTTCCCAGAGTCAGCCCACTGCCCACAGGCGTCTAGACCAGGCCCCACTGCCCAGCCACACTCCAAACATGACCCCCGGCCCACCCCACACTGACCTCACCTCTCCCCAGCGCCTGTTCCTGGAGCTCCCAACCCAGAGCCAACTGGCCCCATCCCACCCTCCCCTACACCCGAACTCCCCCACTCCCCATCTCCCCCACATGCCCTCACTTTCCCCTACTCTTCCTGTCTCCCCAACATGCCCTTGCCCTCCTAGCCTCCCCAGCCCTCTTTCCTGGCTGGTCAACAGTTCAGCTCAAGAGTCACTTCCTCTAAGAAACCTTCCTTGACTTCTGCTCTAGGGCAGCCCCGCACTCCTCACTGAAACACGGCCATGTGGTAATTAAGCCCATGCCACTCAGCACTGAAGGGCCAGCACCTGGTCCCCAGCCTGGCCATGGTGGTCACAGCCATTCAATAAATGACCCCAAATAAACCTGCGAGTCTGACCACATGCAGAGTCACACAAGCTCAGAAACTCCTAGCCTTTTGTTTTCAAACCAAACAGCGCCCAGGAGCAATCCTGAAGCCACTCATGGCCAGCTACGATACTGCACACTCACTCTACAAAGTACCCAAGGAGGCCTCAGCTGTACTTTGCTCCCCAGAGAAACAAATAATAAACACTTATAAAATAAGCATTATAAGCTTATAAATAAGAACATAGGTTCACGCGGAGCCCGAGGTGCCTTGCAGAAACCAGCGCCAGACCTATGTGAGTTACACACACAGCTCAGGCCCTCCTCCCTGCTGGCCGCGGGCTACCAGGAATCCCACGCCCTCAGATTTTGTATTACGATCAGTCTTTCACACGGTAAATAAGTATTTGCTGAACTTCGACAATTTTTTAGGTGTGTGCACCCATTTTGCAGGTGACAAAATAATATTATAAACTAAGACTGCCATGTAGTAAAATGGTGGCTCAGACTCTTTCCTTCCGAGACACATCAGAGACAGATAAGGAAAATATGCCAAGTAAAGACGTAGGAATTCAAAGCTTCAAAATTACACAGACTTTTGCCCACAGGAATCCAAATTCATGCCCACCTCAGCCACAGACCACTGAAGCCTCATTTGGAGCCTGAGCTACAAGTCTTTCACTGAAAGGCTCGACAGTGCCAGAAAACCTTGCTAGCAGGGGACTGTTTAAAGTTATTTTGAAAGACTGAAAGGCTCTACCAAAAATGTTGATTAAAAAGCTAAAGCAGGGGCCAGCTCGGTGGTGTAGTGGTTAAATTCGCACACTCTGCTTCGGCAGCCCGGGGTGTGCAGGTACAGATCCTGGGCGCGGACCTACGCACCGCTCGTCAGGCCGTGCTGTGGTGGCATCCCATATACAAAATAGAGGAAGATGGGCACGGATGTTAGCTCAGGGCTAATCTTCCTCAGCAAAAAGAGTAGGATTAGCAATGGATGTTACCTCAGAGCCAACATTCCTCATACACAAAAAAAAGCTAGAGCAAAGGAATCTTTTACCCAGTATCTAGTAGATTCTCAATAAAGTCTGTGGAAAAGAATCACCAACACTGAGGAAACGCTTCGGCTGAGATTCACAAGCGTTCATGAACAGTGAGGGCACAAAGGCCGTCAGAACTCACGATCTCCTCTCGAATGGAGTAGTCGGCCGTCTCCAAGTAGCTCAGCATCTCAGCCACAATCTGCTGGGCATTGCTGCGGTCACACATGGCGTAGAGGAGGTCCACGGCCCGCTGCCGCACACTCACGTCCCGCTCCGTCTGGGGGAACGAGGCACAGAGAAGCCGTGAGCAAAGCCTGGTGAGGGTGGACGGTGGCCATCCACTGCAATACACGCGGCACCCAGGCGCAAGTGCACCCAGCTTTCCCACGGCCCCCAGCCAGCCGGCTCAGCACCCCCTCCGTGCCAACACTCACTCTCAGCTCTCCTCACTCGCCATCCGAATCCAGGGACCCCAATAGAGTCTGGTCACACAGAGCCCCTCACATGCCAACTCACTGCGCCCTCGCTCCCCACTTGGACCAGGCAGCTCCATCCTGCTCGCTGCTCTCTGAGATGGAGCGCCTGCCATCCCTGGGGGGGTCAAAGGCCGGCACCCTGCGTGCCACCTAGGAGCTTGTCACAGTGCCAGCTCTTTGGCCCCCTAGACCTGATCCTCAGCTTCTGCGTCAGAACAAGACCACAGTGGTCCCTTGGCACAGGACAGCCTGAGAAGTGCTGGTGAAGAACCGAACAATGTGCAAAAGCAAGGGCAAGTCTTTCTGACTCAGGCAGTGACTAGAACAGACACCAAAACCAGGACCAGGCAGAACTCAGAACACCAAAAAGCTAAATCCAAACCCAAAAAGCTAAATCCAAGCCCTTGCATGGCCTCTTGTACAAAAGACGCACCGGAAACGTCTGTTAAGCTACGAGCAAACAAAGGAACAGAATCAGACCTGTTCTTAACCACAAGTCCGGGACCAGAACAATGGGTTTTGAAGCTTCCCCGCCAGCCTTTAGTTTTCTAAGGCACTTGCCCTGACAACTAGGAACGTAGTGAACGCTGCTACGTCTAACCATGAGGAATGAGCCCTCAGAGCCTGTTTTGGAGACTCATAACAGCAGAGGACAGGAACAGATCACCTCAACTTGGCTCTTCTAGCTCTGGAATTTTAATTCCTTGAAAAAAATAAATTTTCCTTTGCAAAGCATGAGCTTTCTTGGAGACAAGGACAAACTATTTCATCTTTCTGCCAAAAAGAACTGTTCCTATTAATTCAAATACTTATTGCGACTCTGTTATGTGCAAGACATGGTGTTAGATTACACCATTACGATGGTCATCTCACAGACAGAACTGCCCGGGAAGACGGTGCATCTAGCAGAGCACGGAGAGTTGTAGACCTGGAGCAGCAGTGTGGCCACACCCGCTCCAGGGCCCAAGCCACATGGCCTTGAGGGACCTCGGGAACTCACCGATGGCTCTCGCACCCAGCTGCTGTGCTCACCACGAGCAAGCGACACAGCTGACAGAAACACCAGCACCCGACTAACGGCAGTTCTCCCCATGGTGATGAAGGACCCCCGAGGACAAAGCACTTGCCTTCAGAGCGTTGGTGACCGTCTCGATGTGTGTCTTCACCGCCTCGTGGGAGAACTCGGAGCTGGCCAATGTGCACATGCTCTCCAGGGCCAGGTAGCGCAGGTTGGTCTCCCGGTGCTGCAGGAACTGGCCCAGCTGGTTACAAGCACGAACGAGCAGGTTTGGCTCACTGGATGGACGGCAGAAGTGGGTTGGAAGCCGTGCGCATGGCAGGTGGCAATGTCACACCGTGTTCATGGTCACCACACTGCTGAAGTGAAGACTTCAGGGGCCTCCCAAGACATAAGAGCCTTCAACTTCAACCCTGAAGTCAGTTTTACATTCACAGTGAAAATCAACACATCATGTACCCACTGGAGCTTTCCGAGCATATCTGCAGAGTTCCACCAACTCCTAAGAGTTGATGACGACAGAGGCACCTCACAAACCAGGCAGCTCCTGAGCCTCTGCAGCCAGCTCATGAGTCATGCCCAGGGCTTTGGTCAAGGCGTGGTCAGACATGTGATCTCAGCCAGGGGCAAACAGCCCTGGGAAACGGCTGAACAAGAGCCTAGATGATGAGAAGACTCTTGAGAGATATATGAATAGACGTAGATACAAAAAAGATTAGTGAATATTTAAGTCCCAACTACCATGAAATGTAGGTTAAATCTCTACTTACTCTTTACTTTGTCCCTAGGATGATGATGTTCTTTAAATATGTTTAATAAAGACAAAAAGGCTTCCTCTAATATCAAAAATGTTGTTTTTAACAGTTCCCAACCCTGCTGCAGGAGCACTCTGAGGCTGAGTTCTTGTCATGAGAAACTACAGTTTTCCAAAAACACAGAGGTAGAAGATGGTGGAGAGAACATCTGCCCACAGCCCACTGTGCTCCCTGCACTACCTCATGGTGCACAGCAGCCTGCTGTCATTGGGATCCTGGTGGCAACTCCCACAGCCCTGCCTGTGAGCCACACTGTCACTCTAACGGAATTTAAAACATGGCACCACACACAAGGCCACGTGCAGGAAGTCCAACTACAGGAGCTGAGCAGAGAAGGCAAGGAAGCAGACTCCCCTGTCCCAGGACACCTGTGCCCTTTCACTCTGTACTGTACTGACACACTCGGTCATCTGGATCACTTCCCCTAGTGACCTCGAGCTACACTGAGCACTGCTGGGTGCTGCAGGAAAGCTCACAGGGGCACACACCCCCATCCTTCCTGTGCAACTCTGCAGGAAGCTGGTGAGGAGCGGGGTGCTCAGGAGAAACAGGAGAGGCCCCACGGGGGGAGGTGAGACCACAGCCCATGAAGCCAACAGTGTGGGAGTTCTGAAGCCAGAGAGAGAGCACGGAGCACTGGAGAAGAGACTAGAAAAGGGACAGCACAGGGAGCGTGCACCTGTGAGAGGAGGAGGGCAGAGGCAAGGCGTCAGGGCCTGCAGGATGGACACACACTCAAGAGCCCCTGCTAGGCCTGCTGTCAGCGAGAAGAGCACATGCACATGTTCAAGAGGACCACATTTTCAAACCTGCTTTGGGGAAAAAAGAGGTCACTGGAACAAGAACACCATCAACCACCGACTCACCTGTCGTGGTGAATGATGAGGCTGATCGCCTCAAAGAGCACAGCGTTCTTGGCATTGGAATGTTGGACTTTTTTGGACTTGGGCGGTTCTTGGGCTTTGTTCAGAATCGTCTCCAGGCACTCGGTCAGGCGGCCTCGCACAGCAGGGTCTTCTGGGCAATACAGAAAGCCGTTGGCGGGGCTCCCTCACAGCCCACCCCACCCTCCCAGCTGCAGGGCCTAGAGGACACCACGCTTCATGGCCTGACTATGTGTAATAAAGTTCTACCGAAATCAGAAGAAAAGAAATAATAGACCAAAAAAGAATAAGAAAACAATAAAAACACCAGAACATCATGGCCAACAGGCACATGAAAAGATGTTCAACGTCACTAATTAGTAAGGAAATGCACACACCTGTGAGAACAGCTATAATTAACAGGACAAGAAATAATAAGTGTTGGAGAGGACATGGGGAAAAGGAAACCCTCATACGCTGCTGGTGGGAATGCCAACTGGTGCAGCCACTATGGAAAACAGTATAGAGAGTCCTCAAAAAATTCGAAAAACCATATAATCCAGCTATTCCACTACTAGGTATTTAGCCAAAGAATATTAAATCAATAATTCAAAAAGATTTGTGCACCCCTATGTTCATCACAGCATCATGCACAATAGCCAAGATGTAGAAGCGACCCTAGTGCCCATCAACAGATGAATGGATAAAGAAGATGTGG